GTCACGTCGCGCGACGTCGAATGCTTGTCGTTCTCGCCGGATATTGACGCCTCGCGCTCGCATTTCCTCGTGCAGGCCGGAAAATCACTGGCGAGACCCGGGAGAAGCGTCCTACCCTATAAGCGCAAAATGTTCCTAGAATGTTACATGAATATTATTAAAAAAAAATTAAAATAATGTTATTATAATATTTCGAAAATATCATAAATATTTTTTTAATATTACAGGAGTATTCTATAGAAGTTATATGTCCACTTATATAATAAACCTAGGTATTATATTTTAATATTCCTGAAACATTATTAAAATATTAATAAATATTAATTATTTTTAATTTTGTGCAATTTGAATTCACAATCCAGTAACGAAAAGTTCTTATCAGTCTATGCTGCATCTTGTGCTAAAAAAACGTTTCAACGTGATTTTAAGTACATATCCAGTTCTACAACTGAGAGCAAAAATCATTTTTAGTTTTTAAACGTATACTTATACTGAACAGATGTAACAGTTTTACAAATTAAAGTAAATGCTGTTATAATACTTTCTAATGTTTATACGATATTACAGTAACATTAAATAAATGTTACTTTTAATAATCATATAATATTATTAGGAGTGGACATATAACCATCCATTAATATTTCAGGAATATTATTTAATATTATATAATTTTAGTAAAATATTATTAAAATGTTATATTTAATATTCTGAGAATATGCCTAAAATATTATTTAATATTAAATAATATTATGCGCTTATAGGGTATTAACTATGCTGCGGATGGAGTCATCCACTTCGAGATTATTCTCTCGCGTGTCTTTACTTTCGTGAGAGTATGCACGCACCTATTTTACGACGTACGAATGCGAGTTGAGAATCGCATAATTGAAATTGATGTAAGATCGCACGCGAATGTCACACAGGAAACTTGCTTTTTCTCGCTTTCCTTAACCATGACATTTGAATTAATGATACGCGCGTTATAGATTCTGGTAACGAAAGGAAATTCATTCAAACATATCCAGATAGCAACGTGTTTGTCTTGTCGCTGGCATATTGCTTGCTAAGTATGCGTTGTTAAGTATGCGTTGCTACCAGAATTGCAGCAACTGAGTCCTCATTTGTTGGCAACTTGATGCCTTCACGATATCATAACATTGAGTAGCAACTTTGCCGGTAATTTGCCGACAACTTTAAAATCGTCATCATCAAAATTCGTACTATTGCTATCGTATTACCATAATAATATGCAGCATTAATGCTCTTATATTACCGACAACGCAAGATAACATTGATGTAGCTATCTTGCTGTTAAACAGCAATACGTATACACATTGTTGTTTGCATGTTGCTACAATGTCGATATATTCGAAATTGTTGAAGACAAATCTACGGCAAGTTGTCAGCATCATAAGCAATCACAGATTTGCGAGATTTTTTTGCTGAGACACGCTTTGTTATCTGGGTAGAAACAGTGATGGGTAAGATACTCTTAAAATTTATCTAGATACAGATATAGATACACATATTAAAATGTATATAGGTACAGATATCTGCAGATACTTTAAAAGTATCTTCAGATACATTTCAGATACTGTTAAATTAATATTATTGTAATAATGGTAATGTGTAAAAAATGTATTAGTTATTAAATGAATCATTTATTCATTCATTTTTGTTACATTTAGATAATTGAAAAAACTTATAATTATCGTAAAACGATTTAGGATAAGAATTATAAGACGATATTATTTATCATCATTCATCAGTTTTGCAAATTAAAAATGCTTCCAAAATTGTGTTTCCAGCTTAACTATACATGCGTTAAAAATTCCACAATCTAAGGTCACTGGCTGCGTTCAGCAGAAAAAGCAGTTGTGTAACTGTAAAATTCTTTAATATAACTGATTTGCACACATTTAGATCCAATGAGGAACTAAGAAAAAGACTAATCATGTTATATATAGAATTTTGCAACAGCGAAGCTGCTTTTTTTTCTGCGGAATGGAATCAATCGACAATCACACATAAAATGGAATTATGATTATGCTGGGGAAATATATCTGAAAAATGCATTTGAAAATCAGTTCAGATGCTGTTTTTTTATCTAGATACAGATACAAATACTCGAATTTTCCTCAGATATAAGTTAGATACACAAAATGTATCTCTATACATGTATCTAGATACATGTATAAAGATAGTACCCAACACTGCATAGAAAGAATGACTTTACTGAAGTATGCAAAAATTTAGCTAGATACAGATCTAACAATAATTGTTGGTTCAATTTATTTAATCACACTTCGATTGTAATTCAGAAGTCTGATATATCTGACAGAAAATTTTGTTTGCAGTAAAAATATTATAAAAGAAGGAGATAGGGCAAAAAATTTTATGAAAAATTTTTTAATTAGATTTCATGTATAATCTTACTTTGGAGCATTAGAATGCCGTTTAAATTTCATTACTTTGTGTCTCTCTTGCTTTTCCTAAACAACCGAATCGGTTGTTTAGGAAAAGCAAGAGAGACACAAACCGATAACATTTCAGCAAATAACGTGCGCCTTCAACAAGATTTTCTTGGAAAAGATTCGAGGAAAACGCGATCAAAGGCGCTTTCTTGGGAAAATGTACGCTATTGGAATGTGTAGTAAAACGCAAATTTGTTCGAAAATACATTCGATAAACAAGCGCAGTATTTTTATTGAATTTGTTCTTTAGATTATCGTAAGAGAAGTAAATATACCTCTGAAAAGTTTTCACGAATTAGAATATTAAAATATACAGATATATAAAAATAAATATTAAATACCGATATATAACGATAAATTATTAATTAAAAAAAAAACAAAAAGTAATTAAAAGATTAAAAGTATAACGTGTAAAGAAATCTCTACAAATCATAAAAAAATATTAATCGAACAGAATTGAACTTTAGATAGATATCTCAAAAAATTCACCCGTGTTGTTTCGAAAAATTTGCTAGACGCATTCTCGTTCAAATTTCTCGCTTTTCTTGATGTACGATAAGCGATAAACATAAGCGATAAGCATTTAACTTAACGGTATATAAATAAGCGACAACGATATGCAAAACTTGTGACAAATAAATAACCTGAAGCGTTGATTTATCTTGAAGTTGATGCCTGAAGCTCTCACGGTCGAATGCATTAACCAAGGACGATAATGACGATCGTTTTGGTCATCTTGAAAGTCACTCGGTGCATCGCAGACACAATTGTATAAGATGCAGACGGTCGATTACTGACATTATGCAGAGTACAGTACAATTGAGATTAGGGCTTACTGATATGCTTTTATGCAAATAATATTGATGTAACAAGTGGAGTAGTCAATAAATAACTCTCGCTTGAAGTTGCTCTCATTTATAAAAAAGTGTATTTTTCTTCCGAAGAAAGTTTCATGGTATCAACAATTAATCGTCGATCTCTAACATCCATAATAAAGCCCATATCAGACTGTACAGTAAAAACATTTTGTGTTTGTACACTGAAAAAAATTCATGTAATTTTATAGGGAAATTATATATTTATGACTGGAAAATTACCTAAATATGATTGGAAATTTATAATTTAATATCTAGTGAATTTCCAATCATATTTAGGTAATTTTCCAGTCATGAACATGTAATTTCCCTGTAAAATTACATTTTTTTCAGTGTATTAAATAATATTCAAAATTGTTAGTGTTAAAATCTTTGTATTAAAATAATACAATTTATTAATAGAATAGAATAGAATTTATTACACTTCAGCATTTACATAGCCAAGAAGGGTACTTGGTTTACAATAAATTCTTACCTCATTCATCCTTTCATACTTCATACGCGCTTTTATTTACAATTTATTAATAAGTGAGCACTTAAAATAATGTATTTTAAAACGTAAATTCTAAGATGAATGAATAAAACGTAGTTACTTTAACATATTATAAATATTAATTTTATTAAGGAAATATTCTTCCACGACTTACTTGTAAATTGCATTTATTTTACATAATATTTATGTTATTTCCTAACATATTCATCTTGTGTTAAATTAACATAAAAATTTGAATGGATCTTTTGGAGCATGTGAAGCATATTTTTAACACAAATTTTCCAACGGTGTACGCATTGGACATTGAGCATTGCAAGTTGAAGATTTTAGAATTCAAATAATCAGGCAATTTTCATTTTTATTCGTTTCGTTTTGATTAGTTGAATTCTAATTTTTAATTAGTCTGATACGAATTTTAAAAAATTAAAACTCTCGCAAAAAATTTGGATAGGCGAAATTGTTTTAAATCCAACAATATTGTGATATCGAAACTTTATTAATTACGCAAATATATTTGTTTTCTATAATATAAGCAAAGATTTTGCCATTTCGAAAATATGCGAATTTTTATGCAGATGTTTCGCGATGCCTAATTTTTTTACACGAGCTTTTTAAAAACCTTTCAATTTCGACAAAACCTAGAAACTTGTTTGCCTGTCCAAAGCAGTGAAAAGGGAGACCATAAATCTGCGGACGGTCGCGTGGAAGTGAGACAACGAACATAAAGCATCGTTTCCACCTGTTTTCCGATCAATATCGTGAAAGAAATTAAGTAGTCTGTGAAATTAGTTTTATCGGTACCGCCTATATTTTAAATGATCTCAGATGGTCCTTGACGATCCTCTGCATTTCTGACATTTAATGACGGCTCGTATCTCTTAGCTATTTCGGAATGTCCGTCAGATAAACGTGCACCTTAATCCTGTTACCGGCATTTCGATCCCTTCCCTATCTGCCAAACTCCCCACTATCTGTACGAATATCCACCCAGGGGCGCATGCGTCCGTCATTTCCCAGTAGCTCCGATCGGTCGACCAATCAGGCGCGCTCGATGGCGACATCGCCAGCCAATCGGCGCCGCGTTCGATGACGACAGCGCTATTTTCGGCCGGCGTGACTCACGGGATATAAGCGAGTACGTTTAGTTGGATGTTCACAAGTTGTCGGGCCACTGTGGCGGACAGGGTGATCCGCATTCGCGCAAAACACGTCGCCGCGATCCCGTCGTGCTACGTTATCATTTCTGTGGAGCAGAAAGACGGCACACGCGCACCACGTTGTGTCGTGAGTCATTGTTGTGTTGACAGTCGAAGCAAGCGGGAGGCAGGAAAGCGGACAGGCGAGCAGGCAGGCAGGCAGACAAGCGGGTTGCCGCTTCTCAGCGGACCGGTTGTTGTTGCATCGGCGTAGTGCACGTCAAAAAAAAAAAAAAAAGAAACGTGCGTTAAACATCGCTGTCTTCTGCGCCGATTTTGCTCGACTTCGACTTGTATCAGGTGTCACCGGGGTGATTGGTGCGCGATACGTCGAGTGACGTGACGGAGTCCCGTGAGACGGAGGGACGGACGGAGGTGCGGCGTGGAGTAAGGAGAGACGGCAGTCGTACCGCGAGTGAATTTTTGCGTACAGCCGCGAGCGGCTGTTATGTAATCGCTGCAGCGCGGAGCGAAGTGTTTGCGCGTTGACGTAGGCAAAGAAGGAGAGAGAGAGAGAGAGAGAGATAGAGAGAGAGAGAGAGAAATAGAGAGATAGAAAGAGAAAGAGTGAAAGACGACGGAGAACGTCGCAGAACTCGTCGACGTGTTGAAACTTCAAGAAAGTCCGTCGTTCTATTTAACTCTTTGGGGCCGGCTAAGCGAGTCGTGTGCCACTCCGGGGGGAACGACCGCTTTCCCGTCCGGAGGCGAGAAATTGGAAGGAGTCGAGGGTAAAACCTCGGTATTTCCCTAATCGAGGCGAAGTTAATTAGCCCGGCGGCATCGATGGTGCGCAGCCTAACGATGGAGCAGACGTTCTACGAGGACGCGAGCGTCTACGGCGCGATGAACGGTCGCGAGAACAGCGTGGTCCAGCTGAAGCGGAACCTCACGCTCGACCTGAACGGTTGCCAGAGGCAGGGCTCGCAGGCGAAGAGGCCACGGTTGGGCCCGTTGCCGCCCGCCCTGAACAACGTCACCCCGATTCTAAGCTCGCCGGATCTCAACATGCTGAAGCTGGCTTCACCGGAGCTGGAAAAATTGATCATGACGCAACCGGACGGTCTAGTGACCAGTCTACCCACCCCGACCACTCAGATCCTCTTCCCCAAAGCGGTCACCGAGGCCCAGGAGTTGTACGCGCGCGGCTTCGTCGACGCCCTCAACGAGCTTCATCACTCCGACAGCTCGCAGGAACCCGGCAGCATGCACGGCGCGACGTACACGACTTTGGAGCCGCCCGGTAGCGTGCAGAGCACAGAGTCCACCATGAGCAATCCCGGCCTGGTGCACGTGAAGGACGAGCCGCAGACGGTGCCGAGCGTGTCGAGCACGCCGCCGATGTCGCCGATCGACATGGAGAACCAGGAGAAGATCAAGCTGGAGAGGAAGCGGCAGAGGAACCGCGTGGCCGCCTCCAAGTGCCGACGGCGCAAGCTCGAGCGCATCTCCAGGCTCGAGGACAAGGTCAAGCTGCTCAAGGGCGAGAACACCGAGCTGAGCGGCATCGTCCACAAGCTCAAGGAGCACGTGTGCCGGCTTAAGGAGCAGGTCATGGACCACGTGCACGCTGGTTGTCAGATCATGACTGTCAACAACCAGTTTTGAGGCTCCCGATCGGTCTCCCTCCCCAATCGAGGAAGGACGACGAACGAGCTAACCCTCGCCCCGCCCTCTCGAGGATTCGCTGTCACCGTGCTCACCATCTTCTTGCCCCATCGCGAAGGTAGTTTTCGCGATTAAAACGAACAGTGAACTTTCTTGCAACGGCCGGTGTGTGGTTGGATCTCCTTTTCTACGATTGCGTTCGAAAGGGAAAATCTCGGCTGACGCCATAAGCTTATCGGAAACGTCTCTCTTCTTATCTCAACCTCACGAATTCTTTATTTTTTTTTTTTACGATACCAAGGAGAAAAAGAATTAAGTTGAACTACGTCTTTCGGATATCGCCAAGGAGTTTGAGACAGAAGAGGCGGTATCTTCGACGAGCGCAGGATAATCCCATCGTCATCCTGAAGAAGGATCTTCGCAAAGGAGGGAGGGAGAAAAGGAGCGAGTCCATCGTTCGCATCATGTTCGCCGTTTTCTCTCTTGGTTCTTTTGTGACATGATCGGGGAGGAGACGATCACACAACGATGGCAAGAACAGTAAGCAGCGGGCGGAGCAGGAGGAGAAGGAGAAGGAGGAGGAGGTGACGGTCGTGGTGGAGGAGGAGGAAGGAGTGCCTTCGTACACAACGTGAAACGTAAAGGATGCTTTTAGGAGAGTGGCGGGCGTGCGCGCGTGCGTGTTGCGCGCATGCGAAAGACTTTACACGCACGAGCACGCTCGGCGACGAGCGAATGCGTGTATCATATGCGAGAAAGAAAGAGAGAATGTATGTAACAAGGAGAAAATGTATGCATGCAGAGAGAGAGAGAGAGAGAGAAAGGGAGAGGTAGCACGAGGGGGGAGTATCGCGGCGGCCATTTTGGAGAACGCGAGAGAACCGGCGGGAGATTCAAAGCTACCGAAAGCTGTCCAAGTAAACATCAACTAACAATAACATGAATATTATAATTTCACACTCAGTAATGTAACTGTTATATACAACATGTGTTATATCACAAATCATGTTTATTTTTTACTGAATACACTTTCGCGAGAGAGACATTCGAGCATTCCGCTAGTCTTGGAAACTTCTACCTTGGTGCATACAAATTGTTGTATTATATAATATTACGTTATATTTACGTTATTTTTAATGTGAAATCGTAACATTGACGTTACGTTACTATTGGTGTTTACTGGGTGAAGCTTTTTTCGTTCCTCCATCTTTCTTCCCTTCATTGTTGAGCAAGCGATCATGTCATCCAACGATTCGCTCCGTTTTCAAATCAGAACGCTTGAAATTTTGCATCCAGGAACGAGATCAATTTCTCGTTGTAAATCTTTCTCACGTTGACGATCTTATGACATTAGATCGATAGAAAGCGAAGGGCTCCTTTTGTCTTTCTCGGCAGTGCCGATTTTCTTCTCTATAGCGGACTCGCGTACTCGGTTCGCTTGTACAGTTTTGATATGGGACACGTTCGCTTTGCTAGTGACATAAATCAAGTTTCGAAAATTGTTCCTTTGACACAAATACACTCCTGAATACGCGCGAGGTGGTTTTTAAGCCTCGTGCCAAGTTGCGAGGATCGATTTGTCGAGTATCGATGATCCCCCGCGTTCATCGCCGGCTCTTTTGTTTTTCGATGCGAACGAGGGAGACGACTGTGCGATTTTTGCGAATCAATCAAAACGAGAGATTCTCATCTTCGGAACCGGAAGGAACCACGCGACCGACTACATGTGATAAGCGCAATCAAACCGGGAGATCACGTTTGCCTTTTACCGAATGCACTTTCGCGAGAGAGACTCGAGCATTCCGCTAGTTTTGGAAACTTCTACACTTTTGGTGCATATAAAATATTGACAAATTAATTAATTCTAAGGAGTAATATATTACGGTGCTGTACTATAGCCGCGCAGAAACGTGCATTAGGGCAGTTGTAATAACGCGTATTCAGGCGACAGAATCGATCGACGACTATCGAAGTGTCGAAACGAGCTTGATTTATTAAGTAGCGTGTGTCTCGCGTAATTCTTTTTAAATAAATTGAAACGCTGTTTCAAATTTTTACAATATATTTGTCTATATCGCGAAAAGATTGAATCTTTGACAATGAAATTAAAGTATTTTTCTAATTGTGATCGGTGGAATTATGTGTACATATAATTACAAAGAGGCACAATCCTTTGCGCCAAGTATATATATATATATGTAAAATTTTTTAATTGTTAAAATTGTAAAAATATGTACAGATTGTTTCTGTATCTTCCATATGTACGTATTTTAAACCGCTTGATTGAAGAATCATTTGAATAAAGAGATATCTACACTATGTTGAGAACTATCGGCAGAGAAGACGCGTTCGCTACAATCGTATGCCTCGCCCCGTGTGCAATCGCGATTGACATTGTTCGATATTTCTTCTAAGACGGTCGATATTTTTCTCCGACGTGCCTCGACGTCGTTCCGCCTGCAACGCGCTGATCGGACGGTACCGAAGTAGCCTCGTTTTTAAACTTGCTTTTGGAGAGGAACTAGCGCTATTAAGGCTGTACAAACAGAGTAGTGTTTGAGAGCAGTCGTGCGTATTGAACCTGTCAAAGAATCGTCATCCTGGGCGAAAAAAAAAAATGGACGCGGTGTACGCTCGCGGTGTGAGGGACTGTCCTGCGATCGCCTGACGCGTGCCTATTAATCTAGATTACGCTTGATTACCGACGTACAAAGTACCGAGGCGAATCACGCGTAATTATACGATCGATCGGATCACGCTTATCATCATCATACAGGATAATCGAGAAAATTGATTCCAACTTTTCTGTCTCATTCAACGCGAACCATAAAAAATGATTAATCAAACAAATAATTTTTGCTACTAAAAAATTCGAAAATGTGTTGATCAATTTTCTACACGGAAGGAAAGATTTTGCTGAAATACTTAAAAAATTTACAATAATAAATGATTTATTAAGATCGTAATGTGAATACACAACAAGTAAGAATATTAAAAGTGTATAACGATCGAAACTGGATTTTTAATGATTTAAATAATTCGATGTTAATTAAAAAATTTAGCTCAGATCTGAAAATAATTTTTGTTGGATTATCAAAATAATTATGTATAACACTTAAGCGTTATAATATAATGTTGTAAAAAGTTGTAACGCTCTAGCAACCAGTTTGAGCGTTTTACATAATTATTTTGATGGTTCAAATAAAATTATTTCCAAATCAATATATCGAGCTAAAATTTTCGGTACTTCACCAAATCGTTCTTTCTATGTACGAATTAGAACGGCGGATGACGTACTTAAAAATACGGAAAAATAATTAAAATAGCCTCGTATTATGTCTGATTTGATTGGTACACCGCGTCCATTCGTGCGATAGGAAGCCCCAAATCTTTCCCTTAGCTCTTAAGTCGGAGACGGCCAGCGAGTCGCGTTCTCCTCTTGGTTCTTCTGCGCGTTTCATGGCGCGTAGAACTCCATTTCGTCATATGTGCATCTAGTCTTGTCCAGTATGCCTTTGTATCTTGAGCCGCATACCGCACACACACATACACACATACACTTATACACGTGCAGATCCGGGATGCACATACGTGTACACAACAACACGGTGGTCGTCGCGACCGCGTTCAATCACGTGTCGCAAGCTGCACGGCGTCGGGAGGCGTCGCGACGCCGGTCGTCTGCGATATCGGTCTCGCCATACTGGAACCGGCAGGCGTCCACGTTCCATACTGGAAATACACTCGTTTCTCTTACGACACACGAAACGGTTTTGTTGAACATTCAAAAATTTAGCTAGCTATAGATTTAAATAATAATAATTACCATCAAAATAATTGTATGTTAGACACCTCAAGCAAGATACGCGAGATTTACGGGTTATCTCCGTGTCTTGGTACAACGTTAAATGCTAACGTTTCTTAAACATCACAGTTCATTTCACCAGGGCGAGAAGCAACCCGACACTGCCCAGGTATGATGATACTGCAAAAAATTTTAACACTCTAGCAACCTGAGCTTCTACCAGTTTGAGCGTCCAATATTTTGATATGGTCTAACGATAATTATTTTCAGATCAGTATCTAGCTAAATTTTTAGATACTTCAGCAAAGTTCTTTCTGTGCACAGTATTGACGTACATTCACTACTGTCTTACATCCCCCGTACTCTTGGCGCACACGAGATCGTATAATACATTTTGATACGAAGACCGCGTAGGCTGAGCCCGAGAACGCACGCAAGTTATTGTTATCGTGACGATATCGGCAATAAGTAAATCTCCTGTCTCTTTGCACAGGAAATGTCCCTGTACCGGATGTTCAGCTTAATCTCTCCGTTCGATTACACTAGTCAATAAATAAAAAAATTATTTCGATAATATGGATCAAATAAGGTGCTTCTTAATCATTTTCGTTCATTGAATACGAATATATCAGTAAAACTTTGTAGCATGTACAATCTTTTTGTTACTGAAATATTTATCAGAACGTCACTTTTGATAAAAATATCTATTTTCTTTCAGTAACTTTTATCTCGTGAGACATATTTAAAATTTTCCTTTTCTTTCCTTTCAACCGTATGAGAAGAGATTTACATGACAACGTATATAGTATACAAGAGAAACCCAACTTTTATCCTGATCTTTGACATATATAAGCTATAAGCTTTCTTCGAAGTTTTTACTAAAGCGATCTACTTGTGATTACATATAATAAAAGAGCTATAACATATAACATAATTTATTTGGCGCATGTATACAAAATTTGGGAAGAACGGGCTATATATTGATGTTCGAGAAACAAGTTCTTTTGACTACATAAAAGTAACGTATGACACTTTTTGAATTATTATATTAAGAAAAAAAATAGTCAATTTTAATAAATATGTAGTTCAGCACTGTCAACTAAACATTTACTTAGAGTAAATAAATATATGTTCAATAAAAAAAATGGTTCTTGTATCAAATGAATATATCTTTATATTTAAAAATATTTAATTGGCATTATTCAACTACATATTTTTAAAAGTGACAATATTTTTTCTCAGTGTAAACATGGAAAACAGAGTCAACAAAGAAGCACAAGATGTAAGTTTTACCAATATCGAAACTTTGTTGACCCAGTGTTATCCGTAAAGTTATTGACGATCCAAGAGTTTTTGAATAACGATTGTTATTGCGTTCTCTTCGAAATGCGTTTCAAAGAACTCGGATATAATCGAACGGAAAGGTTGGAATGGGACACCTTGTAGAGGGGAGCGAGCAATAACAAAGCAATCTTACCTCCGTTTTGCGCATTATCTAACGCGAGACGGATTGCGCGCGCGTGATCGCGAGGAAAAATTCTTCACGAGCGGGAACAGGGAAAAATATCGCGATTACGTTGCGCAATCCTTCGCGAATAATGTCCTCGTCCCCGTAACTTTTGTCCAAGAATTTCCGAGTCTCTTGTCGGCGTAATCAGAGCAGCGGCCGGAACAATTGTTTGATAAGGGCGACTATCGTGATAAAAGGATCGTGCAAAAAGAGACGAGTGATTTCTTACGCTTCGTATTATTTTGCGGGATATTTTTAGATGAAACAAAAATCGACGTTCGATTAGAGCGAGGATTAAGCGCGAGCTCTTTAAGATCTGTCGCTCGCGACGAAACGCATTGCGTCTTTCTTCGTGCGGACGTTGCGTAACGTCGCCGCGCGAAATCTAACGGGTGTGCCCGACGCGAGCGGGGACCACACCTATCGATTTATCTGCGACTCGTATCTCCTCGGCACGCGTTAGAAGAAAATATATTTTACTAATAATGTTTTTCTTTGGGCGATCGCGAACGAGCGATATTTTTAAATGGGCAAAAACCACTTTTTTCTGTGCGACGCACGACTTTTGTATGTCGGACGATTTTTAGACGCGAGAATGGAGCTTCAATCAAATTAATTAAGCGCGCTGAAACGATAGGCGAATCGGTCCTCTTCGCGACGAAGATCGCGCTCGATCTTTTACAGTACACATTTACGACTTACGCACATTTTTATCGAGTCGAGAAGGAGGAGGACGCCGAAAGTGCTTGCGCGAATTTGCGCGCTTATCTGACATTTACGACTGTCCGTTGGCCTCGTTCTCCCTCTCTCTGTACTTTCTTTTTTTAACATTGACACGAGAACGTTAAGATATATTTATTTCTTAAGATTAACTCCCTCTGATACTCGCAACGATAATCGCTACGATAATCAGCGCTTTGCAGAAACAAGCAAAATATTAAGACAGAGAACAATTGTCCTAGAGAGATTTCTCACGCATAAAATATTG